GGCCGCCATCCAGGGCTTCCCATGAGCTGGGAGCCCAGCTACAAAGCAAGAGCCGCGGCGCCTTCGGAAACCAGAGGCAGCCACAGCTATGTTTTGATTATCAAAGAAGCAAATGCCATGATGTCCGAGAGAGCCCTCCACTCTGCCCTGGGCCTGCTCTGCATCTCGCACCACTTCCGACTTCCTGCTGCGTGTACTCCTTTCTGCACATTACTCTCTACTCTTGTCTGTTTCCTCCGCAGAGCAGGGCTCTCCTCTGCCTCACTGTAGCCCCACTGCCTACAACAGAGTAGGTGCTCAAACATATCGGGCGAATAAAAAAGGATATTTTATATATAAATATACTCATGCACCGGGGTCAGGGCGTGCCCATGGCTGTATGTACTGTGTTTTCCCCCACTACTTATGTGGCATTTGTACTTTTTTTCCTTTTTTTGCATTTCCCCTGTCATTAGTCTTTAAGAACACCCTTTTTGACAGCTGTATAGTATTCCACCACCTTGCTATTACATCCTTTTTACTTTCTTTCACACCACCCTTCTTCGTCTTTATTCAGTTGTGTCTGCAGGATTTAAATAAGGAAATAGGCAGGAAGAGGAATGTGAAGGCTTTTCTGACAGAAGGAACTCATAGGGAGAAGGCAGTGTGGGTGCGGTGTGGGGAGCTGAGTGAAATTTTAAGGGTGTTGAATTCAGTAGTGGTGTCTGGTGAGCCATGTGGCCAAGAAACCTGTGCCCAGTGGCATATTGTTAAACTAACTCTCCAATAATAATAATAATAATAATAACAATAAATATATATATATGGCATTTGCCAATGTCCATGGTGTAAATTCTCCTACCATGGTTGGTGTTTAATTCCCAAGATAGCATTGCTGAACGTGGAGTTGCGAGGCAGGGGACAGCCAGCTCTCACGGGCCCGTAGGAGCGACTCAGCGCAGCCCTGCCTGACCCCTGCTCTGGGAGGAGAAGCCCTCTCTACTCCATGTCTGCGAGCTCTCTCGGGGCCCCGGGCCCAGCATCTCAGACGAAGGGGAGGGCTCCGTCCTGGGCAGTGGGCCCATCAGGGCGGCAGGAACCCTATCTTGGGATCTGTCTATCAGACTTCTCAGCAGGATACAAACTCCCAGATTCCCTCAGCTCAGCAATCCGGAGCCGCCCCGGCCACTGGAGTGTGGCTGCTCCATCCACGCCTGGAATGCGGGGCTGGGCCCAGTCTCAGAGCTCAGCCACCAAGTGGGGCTCCGGGTCAGGCACAGCAGTGGGTTCAGGACATCACCCAATGGCACGACACGTATGGAGCACTTGCTGTATGCCAGGCTCTGTTAAACGTCCGACATTTACTTCATCGCATCCTCACACCCCGCCTATGAGGTGGGTGCCGTTGTCCCCCGTTTACAGATGAGGAAACTGAGGCACAGAGAGGATAACGCACTTGCCTAAGAACATCCAGCTCTGAAGTGTAGGTGCCAGGATTCGGTCCTAGGCCGGCTGGATGCTAAAACCTCTGCTCTTCAACCCCGAGCTCAGCATCGCCTCCTGAGACGGGTTTTATGAAGCACCTGCTGTGTGCACTGCATGGTGCTGGACTGTGTGTGGAGTTGGCAGTGATCATGGCTTTGTCTCTATGGATCTTAGCAGAAGAGGAATGGGAGGAGGTTAACCATTTATTGAGCAACTACTGTGTGCCAGGAAGGAAGCCAGATGCCTTACACCACCGTCTTAATTACCGCTCATAACAATCCCAGGAGAAAGGGGAGACCCCTCCCACGTGACAGCCCAGGCCCGGGTGCTCAGGAGCCTGCCCTCCGCTCTCCTAGCTGGGTGGCCTCCAGCAGGTCGCAGGCCCGCTCGGGCCACCTTTCCCCCTTTGGTCCCTTGACAGAGACTGTTCCAGGAGACCTGAAACCCTCTGCCAGTTTGGGGTCAAAGCTTCTCACAATAACAGGAAGTGGCCAGGCCATTTGGAAACGTTGGGGACTCTGGCCTCAGCCCCAGGGGAACGGCAGGGTCAGACGCCAGATATTGGGCAGGTGACAGAGCTGACTCCCTAGAGACCTGGCTGGCGCAGTCCATGACCTTTGTAACCCCCCTCCCCCGGGAGGGTGGGGTGGGGAGGGGTGCCTAGGAATGTGACTTCCTGCTCAGCTCCAGAAGGCAGGCGGACATGGCTGGTGGCAGCTTGGCTGGCTTCCCAGGTGGCCCCAGAACTAGGCCCCCAGGTTCCATTGGGGTTGCCAGGGGCTGGGTAGCATCCCTGGGTCTCTGCAAGATCTCAGAAGAAAAAGGTTCAGCCAAAAGCCCCCACTTAGGTTGGGGGAGGAAGGCCTGGACACCTGTCTTGAAGCCTTTTCCACTGGTGAGGATCTGGGGTGACTGGTAATGATTATGGGGGTGCTTTAACTACTCCCTTGGAGCTACCACTGTTCTGGATTCAACCCTGGATCATCCCTCACCCCCATCTGAAGGATGTGGCAATACTTCTAAGGCTTGGGGCCAGTCCTGCTAGAACCATTTCCCAGATGGGATAACTGAGGCCCAGACTTTGGAAGTTGGAGGACTCAGCAGACAGTGGCCAACTGGGGAGAAAATTCCAGGGATCTGAACCCCTAATGAGAGTGGCTGGGTGGGAGTCGAGGAGGGAGACTGGGAGGCAGATCCCTGGGCTACTCCCGTGGCTGGGCAGCCCTCCCAGTCCCGCCGGTCTGGGTGTGCCCACACTCATTCAGCGGGGGACTTCCCATTGGTGCCCAGCCCTGGGCTGACCCGAGTGACTCAGGCTGGGCACCAGCCCTTCTAAGAGCTCTTAAGCAGGTAAACAGTGAAACTCACGGGGAGAAATAGTGTGTGTAAGTACCTGCCCTGGGACAGGCCCTTCCCGTCATATTATCTCATTTAAAACTTGAATAAATGGACAAACCCGGAGCTGCAGGAGCAGAGAAAAAGGGAAGACATCTGCCTGTTGAGGAAATCCTGGAAGACGCCCCAGGAGAGGTGACATTTGAGCTATGCCTTGAAGACCAATCATAATAACAGCGAACACTTTTTTAAGCTCCCCAAGTTCCCGTCGCTGTTCTCAGACCTGTATCTGCTTTATCTCCGCGAATCCTCCCCGAACCCTGCGAGCGAGATACCGTGTTCCCTCGGAACAGATGAGAAAACCGAACCAGACAGGCACAGACAGGTTCACTTGCCCAACAGCACACAGCGACCAAGCGGCCGGCGTCAGGATGCACATCCAGAAGGCAAACCAGCTACGGACTGACACCCGCCTCTGGACCTCCGTTTCTTCATCCGTAAAATGGGGATGATAGTGCAATACTCTCTGGCGCATAGAGTTACTGCGAAGACGAAGACGGGAGAAGCCCGCCATGGCTCAGAGCAGGGCCTGGCACAGTTAGGTGTTCAAACATTGTAAACGACTTTTATCTTCGCTGCAGCGGCTGCGCCCCTCCCCCCGCCCGGCCGCGGC